CGGATACGGAAATGGCTCTTTTGCAAATCATACGACATATTCAACTGGTTTTGGGCCAATGTCTGTAGCTGTTGGTGATTTTAACAACGACACTCAAGTGGATATCGTCGTCCCCAATTTTTATGGCAGCACTGTAAGTGTACTACTTCGGTATGACAGAGGAGCTCTGGAAGATAAAACCACATTTGCAGCTAGCAGTGGTTCGCGTTTGCAAAGCTTTGCCATTTTTGATTTCAATAACGATAGCCTACTGGATATTGCTATTGCCAATTATGGTACTAATAATATAGGTGTCCTTCTTGGATATGGGAATGGCACATTTGGAAACCAAATGATGTTCTCAACGGGCTTAAATTCTTATCCTTACTCGATCGCTATCCATGATTTCAATAAAGATGGTCAAGCGGATATAGCAGTGGCCAATTATGGTACTAAAAATCTTGTTACGTTTTTGGGAAGTGGAAACGGAACATTTGAAAATCAAGCAAGTTACGATGTAGGTTTCGAGTTCGCTCCATTGGTGGTTGGTGCTGGTGATTTCAATAAAGATGGGCGTTCAGAAATTGTTGTCGCATATGATGGCATTGATTATGTGGATGTGCTTGTTACATACAGCATCGGATCTTTTGCTCATCAGATGAAATATTCAACTGGCAATGGGCCATACTCTGTAGCTCTTGGCGATTTCAATAACGATGCCCAACTGGATATCGTCACCACTAATGATGATGACAGAACTATAAGTGTACTTCTCGGATATGGGAATGGCTCGTTTGCAAATCAAATGACATATTCAACTGGCACCGGACCACTGTCTGTAGCTGTTGGCGATTTTAATAACGACACTCACCTGGATATCGTCGTCTCTAACCATGAAGACAACACTATAAGTGTCTTTCTCGGATATGGAAATGGCTCTTTTGCAAATCAAACGACATATCCAACTGGCTCTGGGCCAAGGTCTGTAGCTGTTGGTGATTTTAATAACGACACCCGATTGGATATCGTCGTCGCTAATAGGGGTGACAACACTGTAAGTGTACTTCTCGGATATAGTAATGGCTTTTTTGTAAATCGAATGACATATTCAACTGGCACTAGGCCATACTCTATAGCCGTTGCTGATTTTAATAACGACACCCGACTCGATATCATCGTCTCTAACTATGATGACAAAACTTTAAGTGTCCTTCTCGGATATGGCAATGGCTCTTTTGCAAATCAAATGACATATTCAACTGGCGCTAAGCCAAGGTTTGCAGCGATGGGTGATTTTAACAACGACACCAGACTGGATATCGTCGCTGTTAATTATAATGACAACACCGTAAGTGTTCTTCTCGGATATGGTAATGGCTCTTTTGCAAATCAAACGACATATTCAACTGGCTCTGGCCCAAATACTGCAGCTATTGGTGATTTTAATAAAGACAACCGACTAGATATCGTCGTGAGTAATTGGAAGGACAACACTATAAGTGTCTTTCTCGGATATGGCAATGGCTTTTTTGCAAATCAAATGACCTATTCAAGTGGCTATAGTCCTTCATTTCTAGCTGTTGGTGATTTTAATAACGACACCCGACTGGATGTCGTCGTAAGTAATACGAATGGGAAAAGTGTTACTGTACATCTTGGATATCCCAAGGAAAGTTTTCTAAACCAAATGAGGCTCATAACTGGCAATGGATCTCGGCCTAGGTCGTTCGCCAATGGAGATTTTAATAATGACGATCAAATAGATATTGCAATTGTGAATTCAGGCACCAACAACATCGGTATTTTTCTGGGATATGCCAATGGTTCTTTCGCAAATCAAACGACATATTCAACTGATTTCTTTCCATGGTCTATAGCTGTTGGTGATTTCAACAACGATGCCATACTTGATATCGTCGTCACGAATCATGGCAATAACAATATTGGTATATTTCTTGGACGTGGTAATGGTTCTTTTTCAAGCCAAAAAACGTTTACGACCGGTTTTAACTCTCAACCGAACGAGGTTGCTGTTGGGGATTTCAACAACGACAGCTTTCTAGACATTATTGTCGCCAATTATGGCAGAAACAACATAGGTGTGCTGCTGGGATATGGTAATGGCTCCTTCGTAGATGTGAAGGTTTTTTCGATCAGTTATGGATCTCTTCCGTTCTTGGTTTCCATTGGTGATTTGAACAACGACGGAAAGCTAGATTTCGCCGTTGCCAACAAAGGTGCTGACAATTCAAAAATTTTCTTACAGACTTGTTAATATTTCAACTGCTGACTTGAATATTTTTTCATTGATTTCCTATTTCTAACTTCTATTTAGTGTTACTATATTTCTTTTATTTTTTTTCTTTTCTATGTATCTATTGATTTATATACTCATAAAAAATGCGTTTCAGCCTGCATGTATCAATCAAACAATAATGGGTGTGGGTGTGGGGCAAGAGGAAAAAACGTATTTTTATGTATTTCTGGATTTCAGAAATACTTATAAATACCTAGAAATACCTAGAAATACTCAGAAATACAAAGAAATTCTTAAAGGTGCACAGAAATATCTGGAAATATATAGAAATATAAAAATTTTAGCTTGGCATACTTCTTCTAAATTTTAGGTTTTCATTCTGTTTTAGTTTTTCGACTCATTAGTAGACAAAATGATGTTTATTACCAGATATGATAGTGAAAAAATCTATTTCCTTATAAAATAAATGATTTGTGTAATACAATGAAGAAAAACAGTATAATAATATATATCCTATTTGTTTTTTTTATTATCTACTTATTTCCATCACCCGTTTTTAGCCGTCTCGCCTCCTTAGAAAATCTCACCTTTCGAAAGAAAGACGAAAGCCTTCTTTATCGTAGGAAGACTCAACAAAGTTTTCTTTTTCATAGCATGTATCAGTTCTTGGAAGAACAGCATATTTCAACAGACTTTCGAAAGAAATATTCATTCGATTTTCGTATTTTCCAACAAGCTTCTGGGACCATTGAAGTATTACGTCATCAACTTTTTGGCCATTTTAACCCCCTCCCTTCCCTGGAGCAAGCAAGTGTCAACTTTTGCGACTCCCTCCTCGCTTGATTACGTAACCTTTATAATAAATAACAAGAATCATTCATCGGATGCCAATTCACTTGGCTCTTGACTGAAAGTGTGCAGAATATTATCATAACAAATATCCGTGAGAGTTGAGTGCGTACATTACATTCTCCTAATCATTGCATTATTCCTTTCAAAGATACTAGCTTCTTTCATTTCATAAAAAATGTAGCTTTTGAGGAAAACATACAGAATCATAGTATCACTTTATAAACAGTCCACGAAAATTCAATTTCCTTCCTTTGGTTTTTTTCGTTTTTTATTACTATACGTTTTGTATCTATTAACCTACTATATATAAGAAGAAAGCCCGGAACGCGCTGCATCTTTTGGTATATTTACATTCAACATCAAATGCAGTTCGAAATATAAACAGTACATTAAAAAAAGAAGTGACATTTTTTATTTTTACTACAAAATCACATGTCCATAATGTTGTAACATTTTTTTATCTCGCATATATTTCGGCTTACGTAAATGATGAAACCTTGAATTTTTTTTCAAAAGATGCGCCGTGAAAGGGAGTGGGTGTGGGTGTGGGTGTCGTGTGGGTGTGGATGCCGGTGTCGGTGTTACCATAGAGAAGATTCATA